GGCGGCTGATCGGTAGCACCGCTGCCAGCGCCACCAGCGCATCCACCACTGCGGCGGCGCCGGTGTCAGGGGGTGGCGCTGCAGCGGCAGATGCCGGCGGAGGCTCAACCCCAGTGGTGGTGCCGGAGGACGGCTGCTGGGGCCGCCGTGGCAAGGACCGCCGCGATGATGGCGGCGGCGGCGGCCGGTGCGGCGCTGCCGTCGTCAGCTCCGTCAGCGACACCGCCCGCTCCGCACCCCGCCGCGACAGCATTATCCTCCTAGCCTCGTCTAGCAGACATAGCAACACCAGCGCCGGCGGCTGCTCGTTCGCCGCCGTACGCACCTGCCGCAGCACTTTGGGCCCCAGGTTCGGATGTACGGCAAGCATTCCGGCCCGCAGGACTGCTTCTGCGACTGGCGGAGGGTACAACCGCTCCAATAGCAATTGCCACAACAAGGACAAGGGGGAGGAGGAGCTGCAGCTGCCGGCGGTGGTAGTGGCGGTGATGGTGGCGGCGGTAGCTAGCCCGCTGCCGCCGTTGCCGCCTCCTGCAGCGCCATCGGTGCCGCCGGTAGAGGCCGCCGCTGCTGGCAGCCGCAGCATGGAGCATTCACGGGCGAGGTCCGCCGCCGCCGCCGCCGCCACCACCGAGGGGCCTTTGCAGCTGATCGACGTCGTCGAACCCGACGGCAGCCGCATTACTATTGTACGAACGATAGACACCAGCAGCTGTAGCGCTTCCGCATGTGCCTGCACAGCGGCAGCAGCCGTCTCGACACAGCGCCAACGCAGCGCCGCTGCAGCCCCGCCGGTAGCCTCCGCGTCCGCCGCCGCCGCCAGGGCGATTGGCGCCAGGGAGGGAGCTGCCTTACCAGGCGGAGGAGCGCACCCGCCTTTCGCCGCCGGGCTCGAGGTGTCCACCACGAGGGGGGGGCCACCATCCCGGGACGCAGCCGGGGCCCCATTAGCTGCCGCTACTGCGGCTGCGACTGCTACTGCTCCTGTCGCTACTGCTGCTGTTGGGGGACTTAGCTGAACTTGGCTGCTGGCGACTGCAGCCGTAGCTCCCGTGGCGATTGTTGCCGTACTGTCGTAAGGCCCTGCTGCTGCAGCTCCTGTTGTTGCTGTAGCGCCGCCGGGAGCTATGGTGGTGGTGGTCGTGTGGTGCTGGTCGTGGTCGTGTGGTGGTGCGGGTGCGGGTGCGGGCTCCACCACGGATGCACCTCGGGTGGTGCGGGACCGAACCCCCCGGCTCAGCTGCGGCCTCTTCGTCGCCGCCTTTCTGTGTGCCGCTGCCGCTGCCGCTGCTGGTGTTGGTGTTGGTGTTGGGGTTGCGGTTGGTGTTGGTGTTAATGACGAAGGGCCTTGTGTGGGTGTTTGGGGGACTACATCACCACCACCACCACCGGCCTCACAAGCAACACAGGCAGCGGGTTCAACGGCGGCGGCGGAGATGCCGACGTCTTTCCGGCCGCCGGCGGCGGATAATCCCTTATCTGCCGGTGCAGTACGGATTTGTACGGCAGCGCGCTGCTCCTGACCCTGCTTTGCGTTGCGAGCGCGCCTGGTTTGCACTGCGTGATCTCCCCCCTCCTCCTCCGCCTCCGCCTCCCTGTGCGACCCCCCTCCCCCTCCTGGCTGCTGCTGCTGCTGCTGCTGTGGTTGTGGTGGTTTCTGTTGTTGGTTGTCTTGGTGCGGGTTTCGGGGCGAGTGCTGCCGCCGGCGTGTGGAGGGGGTAATGCAAGGCGCTGCCACGCCTCCGCCGACGCCAGCACCGTCACCAGTACGACAACCGCCGCTGCTGGCATCAGCAATGCCGCAGGTGGTGCCTGGGGCCCCCGCGCAGGAGCGCCGCGAGCTCCTCCTCCTCCTCGCATCACTTGGGGTGCTACTGCCGCCGCCGCCGCCGTCGGCCCCCTCCAGAGCCGCGAGGCCGGTGCTGGTGTCCACAAACCTGGTGAAGCAGGCCAGGCTGGCTTGGAGATCCGCGAGGGCGCGATTCGGCTTCTTGGCCTTGGTGTTGGTGTTGGTGTTGACACCGATATGGCTGCTGCTATTGATGTCGACGTTGTTGGCGGTGTTGGTAGGAAGCAGCCTAAGGAAGAGGGAGCATGATAAGGCCCATGCCAGCGTCAAACACCTGAACACCTCCCACCAGTACAACCGCACGCAAAACGTAAACACCGTGGGGGGCGAGACGCCGCTGGATAAACACCCGTGCTACTGCTATTGCGGCTACCATTACTATTACCACCAATACACGACTGCTGAGGTTCCATAACTCCCATCGTTAATTTTATAGCATAATAAAAAATGACTGAGTCAAATGTACATACGGTACGGTGGCCGAGCGGTCTAAGGCGTAGGATTTAGGCTCCTATCCGAAAGGGCACAGGTTCAAATCCTGTCCGTATCATTGAACTATCCCATCAATTCTATGCCACTTTTGTTAATGAGAGATTGAATATTTTACGTACTCACGACTCTTTAAACTTATATGCCAAAATCAGGAGCACCGCGCGGTCATGCAGATGGTGCTAGGACACCCACTACCCTACCACCGTGCTCCCCCCACTACACCCCCCCCATTACCCCCACTACCCGGCCCATCCCCCGCCCCCCACACAGCGGGCAGTCACTCACCCACTCTCGCCGTCGTCGTATCGCATCATGGGGTCAGGGGGGGGTCCAGGATCAGCCCGTGGACTGACAGTCCGCGGCGAACTGACTGGCGCTCGTCCAAGTCCTCCCGTGCCGACCACCCCGCCCGCCGCTGCCGCTGCCGCTGGAGCTGCTATTGCTGTTGCTGTTGCGTCACCTCCCACATGTCCTCTTCGAGCCGCCCCGCCCCGGCCGTGCAGGCCCCCTCCAACCCCGCCGTCATCGGGCCCCTCCGTAGCACCCGCAGCAGGAGTAGCACCCGCAGCAACATCACGATGCGCCTCCGCCAGCAGTCGTGGCGGCGGCGGCGGCGGCGGTACTCCCAGCGGAGCGACGCGAGCCCCACAGGGAGCCGACGGCGAGGCGACTGGGTTCCCGGTCCGCCCTGCCCCGGCAGCCGCGGCAGTAGCAGCAGCCGCATTAGTAGCAGTAGCAGTAGCGGGTGATGCCCCTCCCTGGCCCTCCGCTTGTTGTCCAGGGCCGCAAGGTGCGGCCGCTGCCGGTGCCGCTGCCGGTGGGAATTCCGGGTGCGGCTTCTTTAGCTCCCCCTTTCTTGAGCTCCCGGCCCTGGCGGCCCTGGCTGTCGCCGTTATGTCCCCCCGGCTGAAGGTGGTGCTGCAGCTGGGGGTCTCCTAGGGGTGGGTGGGGAGGGGTGGGGTAGGTGGGGTGGGAGACAGGATATGGGGGGGGGAGGAGCAGGAGGAGGAGGAGAGGAAAGAAGGGGGACAACGACGCGCGACGGGAGTAAATTAAGGGGAGGTAACACATCGTAATGGGTTGCGAAGGTGGGTTGTTGATTCTCCTCCTCCACCCTCCAATGCCCTTCCCTCTTCCCTCCAGCTCCCCTCGTCCGACCCCTCCCCTCCCCTCCCCTCCCCTCGTCTGACCCCTCCCCTCTCCTCTTCACTGCACGTGCACTTCGTCGTAAGGGGATCCCCAAGCTCACGCACTCACCCCCGGCAAGCAGGCACCAGCCCACACACCCCGGGCCTCCACAGCCACATCCACGGCCGCCCGGCCGAGCGAAGACAAATCCAGGAGGGACAGCGAAGTGGCAGGGCCGCGGCGGCAGGATGCGTCGACGGCGCTGTCAGGTACTGCCACCCTTGCTGGCGGCGGCGGCCGCCGACCAGGCACCCCAGCGGTGGCGGCTGCGCCGGTAGCTACCGTACGCTTCGCCAAGCCCGCGCCGTACGCGATGAGCTGCCAGCGCTTCGTTTGGGACGCCTGCGACAGGGCCAGCGGCGCCGCCGCCCTCGGCAGCCCCGTAAGCTGCTGCAGCAGCGCTGTACTCGCCTCCAGGGAGACCGGCCAGGTGTCCACAGTGGGCAGTGGCGGCGGCGGCGGCGGAGCCACTGCCGTGGCTGTTGGCGGGGCCGCTGCGGGGGCGGCACCAAAAGCTGTACACATTGCTGCCGCTGCTGCTCCTGCTGATGGTGGCGGTGGGGGCGGCATGTGCGATCGCGGCGTGGCACCCACCACTCCTCCGGTCTCGGAAGGAAGCCCCGTGTCCAGCTGCTGCTGCTGCTGCAGCGGCCGCCGCATTACGAAGAACCCCCCGCCGCCGGCGCCTCTGCATCCGCCGCTACCACCGCCACCAAGGCAGCGGTTGGCGGCCGGCCCAGCGCCTGCCAGGCTTGCTCCGAAACCAGCGGGCCCACCAGTTCCCGTTCCCGCTGACGGAGTTTTGCAGCCCAGTGTCGTACCGGCCTGCACTATGCCGCCGCAATAAGGCCCTTCAGTCAGGTGGGTGTCCGGGAGTCCCCCCGCAGCTGACGGGGTGCTGGAGGGCCCTGCGGCCACAGGTGCAGGAATCCGAGCTACCGTCGCCGCCGGCCTGAGAGGCTTCGGCGGGGACGGCGCCGCCGCCGCCAGTGACGTCAGCGCCGGCGGCGGTAGAGCAAGTGGTTCCGCTGTTGAAGGTTCCGCCGACGGTTTCCTCAACGCGTCTTCAAGCGCGCTGTGGCATGACAGGAGGGCCGCAAAGGCCGCCGCCACTGCACGATTTCGGTCATCAGCGCCCCCGCCGCCGCTGCTGTCGATGCCGTACTGGCTACCGTTGACGTCAGGGCGGCTGACGTCCCGCCACGGTGACGTCGCACCCCGATTGGCATGCTTAGGTGTACGGCATGCGCATGCGAGGTGTACGGCCGCCCGTACGGCATTCTGTGCTGCCGTCAGTCGGTCGTCCGCAGCCACGCCGTCCCTGACGTCATCCGCCAGGTGGCAGCTAGGCGGCGCTAAGATGCAGTCCAAAGCATTCGCAGTAGCCGCCAACATGGTGACCGAGTCCGTACCTGCATCCGTACCAACCATGGGTGTTTCCCCGTCGGCGCCGGGTGCCGTACGGCTGCCAGACGCTTGTGCAGCGACTGGCACCCCACTACGGTGGTCATTGTACGGCTGTACGGCATTATTTAAACACCAGGCGCCGCCGCTGTAACTGGGTTCCCTGGACCGCCCCCCTCCTCCTGGGAGTGAGGAGACCTCCTGACGGAGGCGCTCATGCCGCTGCAGCTGCTGCTGCTGCTGCCGCTGGTGGTGGTAGGGGTCGTCCCATGGGGGACTGCGCCGCCCTGCGCCGCCTAGGCTATCCGCCGCCGCCGCCGGCGCTGCCTCACCTCCTCCTCCTCCTCCTCCTGGCTGCGCGGCCGCCTGTACCCCCTGTTGGCTGGGCGGCTGACGTCCCGGCTGGAGAGGCGGCTGTGGCTGTGGTGGCATGATGGGCTGTGCCGCCCGCATCACAGCCAGACCCAGCGGCTCGGGAGCGGCTGCGAAGAGCTCCAGCAGCGCCGCAAGGACCTGCGGGTGGACGGAGGAGGAGGAGGACGGGCAGGAGGAGGAGGGGGGGAGGAGGACGTGTGGGTTTGGGGGAAAAGACGAACCACGTGAACGAGTGAAGCTGCTGCCAAGGAAAGAGTGTACAAGGAGCAGAACTGACCAGTAGGCGGTTTTGAATGAGGCGGCCTCGGGATTAGGGTTTGTGGGGGCCATCACACCACCCCACACCACATCACGCCGCAACACCACAGTGTTTGTTACCATGACGTCGCGAAAGGCCCGGAAGGGACAGTCAAGGTCGGTCCGCTACATGTGCACATGTGCACGTGGGGGGGAAGCGGGGGGGGGGCCGACACGGCCCACACATGGCGAAGGGACCCGCGACAACATAATGTGTACGGCAACGTGCGTACCTGCATGCGCAGCTGCAACAAAGCTGAGGCCTCTGCTGCGGTGCGGTTTCCCTCCTCCTCCTCCTCCTCCTCCGGCTGCTGCTGCTCCCCCGGCTGCTGCCCCCCCGGCTGCTGCCACTGGAATGGCGCACCGCCCCGTGGGGGCCACCTGCTGCCGCCCATGCTGGCGGCGGCGGCCGTCTCCCCGTCAACACTGCCCCCCTTGGCAGCGGCAGCGGCAGCGACAGAGCTGCTGCTGCCGCCCATGCAAGCGGCGGCGGGGCCATCATCTCCGAAGACTGCCAGTACGAGAAGCTCGGCCAGCACGGCCACGTGCTCGTCCAGCGTGCCGAGCAAGGCGCAGCTCTGGGTTCGGTTCGGTTGGTGGAGTACGGCATCACCGTCGTACGGGGTACCCGTGGGGCTGCTCCAGTTGCCACGCCAGTCGACGGCGGCCAGTGCCTGCAGTGCCCCGACCGGACCGGGCCAAGGGGGGGCCGAACCAGGGGGGGCGATGGGGCGATCAGGGGGGAGGGGGCATCCGGGAGTGAAAACACAGTGCGCTAGAGCGCGAGCGACACAGAGGGAGGTAAGGGAGTGGGGCTAGGGGCAATATGATAAAAAAACCGACGCCCATACGCGAACCGGATATACATACATACATACATACATACATACATACATACTGCCTCCAGCAAGGGGAGCGCGTCGTTGGGGTCCCCTAAACCCAAACCTAATGCCCACGTTGCGCCACACCACACCACACCATCACATGTTCCCCCATGATATCCGTCACGTCACACCCCGTCACGTCACAGGGTCCGTCACGAATCTGAACATTATTCCGCAACTCCCCCGCCTTGCCTTTCCAAAGCATCTTATCAACGCCGCAATCGGCGCCGCCGCAAGGGCCACCTCGGGCTCCCGCCCAGCCCGCGTCACAGCTCCACCACGCCTCGCAGTGGACAGGTGCGGACGACGGAGGGCCATACACGAACCCCCGACCGGCTCCCCGACGACACGCCACAACGACCGGCGGGGGGCCACGGGCGTGGAGCCGCCGCCCCCGCCGCCGCCGCCGCCGCCACCACCGCAGCTCCGGATGGTGGAAGCCGTACGAGAGGACTGCCACACCAGGCAGTACGACAGCCGAAGCCGGCGCTGTGTTTGCGATTGCAGAAGAGCAAGTATCGGCGCACCGTCGCCGTCGGCTGTTCGGACCGGATTGGCTAGATCTCCGCCATTGGCGCCGTCACCGCGCAGCCTTACAGGGCTCCTAGATAATAATAGCTCCTCGTCGCCGTCGCCGTCGGCATTGGGGGACGAACACACGCGCAGCAGCGCCGCTTCCAGGCCGGCGATGCAAAGCGCGCGCATGTCAGTACCGCCCTTGCCGGGGCCGGCGGCGGCGCCTGAGCCCTCCACTACGGCTGCCGCCAGCCGGGCGAGTACGACCGCGGAAACCAGTTCCGGAGCTGACGGCGCCGCGAGCAGACCCCCTCCCAAAGCTCCGCCAGGACCGCCTCCTCCTCCTCCTGCTGCTACTGCTGGAGTTCCGCCGTGCAAGAACCTCCTCGTGAGACCAGTGGCGGGACCGACCCGCGGGTCGGAGCCCTTCTCCACCAGGAGGGGACTGCGACGGGCGGCTAGACGCATCAGCCCCTCCAGCAATCTGGAGGCCAACGGCGCAAAACCCTCGGGCAGCTGCCTGCCGTACACTACGACGGCGCACAGCACCTCCAGCGCCACCGCCACCACTGACGGCAGGGCGCTGTCCGGCACCGCCGCTCCTGATCCAGCTGCCGTACACCCGGCGGTGGAGCCAAAGAGGCTGCAAGAGGAGACGAGGGCGCTGGTGGCGCCGTCACCGTCCTCACCAAAGCCTGGAGTTGGCCACGGCAGGTTGGCGGCCATTCAAATATGCGTATGTGTGTCTGTCTGTCTGTCTGTGTTGCGTTTCACTCTCCGAAGGTGTAACCTGGGGGCCCCATGCCTACCCAGAGCCTCTAGAGGGGACCCACCCTCTAGGGGGGCCACCAGCCAAATATGTAACACGACGCAACACAACGCGAATCTGCACCCTCCCCCTCCCCCCAGGATTCCACTCCATGGTGGTGGGCCGGACGTGCCCGTGTGCATATGATGCACCAGATGATCAACAGCAAGGAGGAGACAAAAACTCAACACACAGAGATTGAAGCCCCCACAACATGAAGGCGCCTGGTAAGATAGAGGTGGTGAAGGTAAGATGCAAGGAGCTTCTTCCCCCGCATGCACCCCACCAGAAGGGGGGGGCCCACCTGTTTACCAACAACAGACACAACAGGCGCAACAACCCCCACCAGCACCGCTGAGGTCACCGCTGTTTCGGAAAGGGGGGGGAAAGGGGGAAGTAGTGGTACTAGTCCCATCAGCTACTGCAGCTTGGATGGGGCCGGATGGCGGACCCGCGACTGGGCTGGTTGGGCGACCCACCGACCCACACCGCCGACCGAGGGCCCCAACCCAACCGGGCTATAAGGCATACCTTCATCTTCAGCAGCCGAGTACCCCGATAAGGATATTTCCATCGACCCGCGCAACCCACGCTTACCCGGCGAGCTCCCCCTGTCCCCTCCTTCGCCGCCTCCCCCTGGAGTCCGGCTGCGTAAGAGGGGCAGCAGCCAGGCCGAGGTCTCGGACGACGCTGAGGGGCCCCCCGGCGAGTGGGGGTAGTTCAGGTGGGTGGCGGTGTGGGTGGTTGCTGGCCCCAGCGATGGCAGCGGGTATGATAGCTGAGACATACCGCCGCCGCCGCCGCCACCTCCCCACCACGTAGTAGGCGGAGGGGTCATGATCGTGGCGACGCTGGCACTGCCCCCGCCCGCGCTGCAGCAAGATCCCGGACCCGTCGCAGCCGCAGCAGCCGTCGTGACGGCAAGCCGTGAACGCCGGCGAACGGCTGACGGCGCGCCGGTGTCTACATGTGCCGCCGCCGGCGACGACGCGTGAGCGGCGGCGCCACCGCCACAACGGGACGCGGTAGCTAGAGCGGCGGCGGCGGCGGCTGCCGCCGCAGCGTCCTCCCCGGCGGCGGCGGCTGCCGCCTCGCACGCCACGTTTGCAGCATCCAGCAGCAGCGCCTCTGCAAGGTCTTCACTGTACGGCAGCAGCGGCGCCAGGAGTCGTACGAATCGTACAGCTGCTGCAGACTGCATGTTAGTCACGTAGGCCGCGTGATGCTGCAGCAGATGCAGTAGCTCCAGGGATTGGCACAGGAGATGATCGTACAGGTCCATGTCATCACCGCACAGCCCCGAAACCAGCCGTAAGGCCTCGTTAGGGTCAACAAAGTCAAAGCACGCCGCGCCCGACGGCGGCGGCGAGTGGGGCTCACCGCCGTCACAGGGGTCCCCGTAACCTGCGTTGCCGCCACCGCTCACCGCCGCCGCCTCTGAACCGCCGCCAACGGCTGCGGCCTGTAACGCCCGAAGTCGGTCCCGTACGGCAAGCACTCGGACCACGTCGCTCGTCAGGGCTTCAAGTACCGCCCACATGGGGCTGTCCTCCCCGTCACGGCCACCACTGCCGCCGCGGGCTCCAACGGCATCACCATAACGCTGGCGGCGGCGGCGGCGGTGATGGCGGCTGCTGCGATGACACTGGCGTCGCTTGCGTGGGCTCCCGGTGTTCGGCCCCACCATCACCTCCTCCTCTTCCCCACCATGTGCATCCAGGGCTCCGGCATCGCCCACGTCCTCCTGCGCGTCCTCCTCGCCCGCGCCCTCACCCTCGGGCCCATAGTCCTCCGCTCCCCCCAGCCGATCTAACACCTCCGCCAGCACACCCCGGGCTAGCGCGGGACAGCTCCAAGCCAACGCAGTCAACAAAACTGCGCCGCAACGTACTCGCGAACATGGCAGCTCCGGCGGCGGATGCCCGGCTGTAACGCCCGCGACGCCGACGCCGTCGCCACAATCACCTGTGTCGTACTCCGCCTCCGCCAGCTCGCGCCCCATCCCCAGCGGCGCCGCCAACCATCCCATTGCGGCCTCCAAGAGCCACTTGGTGACGAGGGGGAGGTCGCCGGCGCTGTAGGCCGAGAACCACGAGGCGAGCTGCTTCAGGCTGCGGACAAACAGACAACAGAGGGAGAAAGCACCGAGGGTGAGATGAAGCAACGAGCAAATCGAGGCGCAGCCAACAGCAGCCTCTCTCCGCGACGCCACGTCAGCACCTGCATGCCTCATCCCCACCCCCAGCAAGCCAGCTTTCCCCCTTGCCCTTCCTCGCCCAGCAACCTCACGCAGTCCCCTCCCTCACACCTCGTCAGTCCGCCCCGCCCCCTCAATGACACCCTCGCCGCTGAAACACTTTCCCCCCCCCACACACACCCCATCGCGCACCTACTGCCCCTGGTCACGGCCACTACGGTCTCCAGAGCCGCTCTCCCACAAGCCACTGGGCTGGCGCTGTACACACACGCAGCCAGGGGCAGGTCGGCAATCGTGGGCCCCTGCGGCGAGGGGAGATGGGGGTCCCACCCGCACAGCCCGTCGGCCCCCCACGAGTCCAGGTGCGCCGTCCTACATCCGCCGTTGCCTCCTCCTCCTCCTTCTCCTGCGGATGGTAGTGAAGGAGCTGCTGCTGCTGCTGCTGCCGGCCTTGCATTCCAACCCAGACCGTGTGCCCCGCCTGAACCAGCAGCTGCAGCTGTTGCTCCGGAACCGTCAGTTTCCAGGCAGAGTTGAAGCTTCTCCAGCAGCAGAAGCCCAAGGTCAGGGTTGTACACGACACTGCCGTGCACGAGGTCGAGGAGCTCCTGGCGGGTAAGAACGCGGGGGAGAAGAGGGGGCAGAAGGGGGTACCGGGGGCAGAAACGAAGGCTTGGAGGGGAGGACGGGATGCAGGGTGTGCCGTACAGGGCCATGCAAGGGTTGTGCGGAGTGATGCCCTTGCATGGAATTGAATTTATTGAGTTGTGCCCGGCGCTTTTGAGGATGTACGGGGCTGTATGAGGCCATACGGAGCGTGTGTGAAGCGTGTTGAAAAATATGGAGGGAGAGGGCTGAGGTGCAGCCGTGCGCTGAAACGGGGTCTGCATGCCGTGTGCGGGCTGTGTAGGAAGCCCCTGCGGCTACGGGAAGGTTTGCGCAAGTGTCACGTCCTAAGGATGACCATCCGTCCTGTCAGCCAGCTCCCGGTGCTGGCATACCGTGCGAAGGGCTGAGATTCCAAACGTCTGACTGAGGGCTTGACGAAGCTGCTTAGTCCAGGCAAGAGCTGCATTACGGTCGAAGCTTGCGCTGAAATCCATGCTGTCGTTGCTTTCAGCTGGGCCAGGTGATCGGACAACCAAGTCAGCGCACCCCGATAAGTGCTGAAGTGATGTTTGGGCCATCATCGCGTACATCTGCATGTCCTCGGACAGTTCGGTCTGACCTAATAGGTCTGTCCACCAGACGTCGAGCTGAGGGCTCCCAGCCATCATCACACCAATCTTTTGTTATAGGCTAGCAGCTCGTCTTATTCTGGCTTTGATAACAGTCAGTCCACTTGCCAAGATTGACATCCGCACGGAAAGTCATTTGCTACACTAGGTACGAGACAGCAACAGCACAGGTTCATTAGAAAGCTGCGGTATCCTTCTTCACTCTGGAATCCCTTCCATTGACAGCCAATAGCTCGCTCCACCTCGTACGGCGTGGTCTCAATTTTGTGGCGGGATAAATACGAGTGGCACAATTCCGCCTTCTGGTCCTGCCTTGCATACCGCCTACGTAGTTACACTTTGAAAGTATATTGAACGGCACAGATGGTGTGAACTTTGTTGATACAGTGAGAACCTTGATGAACCCTTTGCTTGTTCCTACAAGTGTTTACATGACAAGTGCAGTTTCCTCTTAATTGCGAGAATTCACTCCATATTACGGCCAGAAGAGTCTTAATCCGGGCCGTTGGCCAAGTCAGGCGCGCACTACGCAGCCCTTTAAACTAGAGGTGCGCAACAGATTTCCTAACCTAAGCAGGGAAAACCTTTCCTCTGCCCCAAATGCCCAAATTGGCGGTAAACTCGTGCTGCACATGACATACGCGTTGCGACCCTCCCGTAACGAGAAAAGGATTGAGGATTCGATCTGCTGGATTGCAAACATAGCTCGTTATGAAAAATTGAATATGGAGTGCTTCCGCACCTACGCTCCTAATGTATGCAGAGTCGGCTTTTGATAAGCCAACAGCTTCCTTTCGCTTCTTATAGATCCCCTCAGCGGTTGTTACTACAGCTCGAACAAAAACGTCATCTCGTCTCCATTCATGTGGCGGAGGTTCTCGCAGGCATGCAGGCAGCAGCGACAAGCAGTGCTCTAGTATTACACCGACACGTTCCACCGCACGTCGCATCCCTCTCCTCCAGAGACACAGTCGCCGTACAACTTTCACTTTTTGGTACATGAACCATTGCCAAAGTCCCTGCCTGTGAAACCCAGGCGATGGCGGCTGTGGGTATTTATGCATCTGAAATCCAAATCAAGCCCCATCCAGCTAGGCTTATGACCATATTTGTAAAGTACTTGTTCTCGCGGTTTCACAATCTTTCAGGTGGCCGGGACCCCCTGTCCCACTTAGAATAACGAGGCCGTGCTTTGCCATCTGCTTGGTGCGGCACCGGACTGACTTAGTGGACACAACAGGTGGGTACCGTTTTGTTGAGCGAGGGAAACGACCGGCCCGCTGCCAACCAGCCATGATGTTAGTATTACCAGCCACGCAGTGAGAGAACGGATGCTGTAGCTGTGACCCTGGCTAAGTTTATATGCGCGCGACAGCAACCTCAACAAAAGCATGGCAAACCAGACCTATGCGGGTTTCTTAGCGGGTACATGTTCGCATAACATGCAAGCCCGTTTAGGTTCCGCCATCAGGCTGCAGCCCTCTGGAACTCTCTCTTGCGACGAGGACGGTTCGGACGCAGAACAACGGCTCTTAACGGCTCTTTACATCCTATGTCTGGGCAACTAATGCACATATCCTTGTACTGGGGCTTTCCCATACTTATAAGACTTCTAATAAGCATAAAGGATAATGATACAGGAATTAAAAAGGGAAATTGTACCGTTAGGAAACACGCACGCAAGCTGCAAACGTTCGACGCCTGTGTTTCAAAAATGCAGCTTGGCCTAGCTCCATTCCAGACATTGCCGAATAAATCATCTGAAATGTAAGGACAGGTATGGAAAACATTAAAAGGAAAATACGTAGTTGCAGCTTGCTGCGGTGCGTACGGCTGTTTCGGTAAAGTCACATCTTACTGAAGTCTGGACTTTAGGCACCAAAAAATGTCATAAATATGCGATGTTTCTGCAGCTCTATTGGCGGGTCACTTTCACGACGACACGCGGCAAACATGCGCTGGCTTTGGACTTTCGGACGCGTTCCCGAAATTGAGCCAAATGAGATGCTTGCCGTAAGCAACCGCATCCTCGCCTTGCCACCAGAGCAAAGGTGGGTTTGCTTTGGAGGAGTTGCCTGGCGAGCATACTGCTGCCGCTTGCCTAGAGTGCAGTCACCTGCACTGCTTCATTGATTGGTTGCCATTTGCTGTAGTGCCCAATGAGTACTTAGCAGAAGTGACTAGGAGGACAACCGTGGGTACCAAGGCCGCATATCATCAAGCATATCGTTTCGGTGGGCTACTTTACGGGCGGGGTGGTCATTTGCAAATGGAAGCGCAGTTAGGCAAGCCCGTTAAGGACCAAATAACAGCCAGCAGTACGATGGAAGGTGTTGAAGTAGGTGTACGACATTGCATTACATTACGTTCTCAGCTTGTCATGCGTTGTTAGGGTTGAAAACTGAGCATGCTTTTGTCCTTATAACCCAAGAAATATATGCACTCAGCGCACATATACTGCTGCGGAAGGTGCGGGTTCATTAGGGTACTCTACCCAGTCTACTACTGATTGCTCTGCTATTCGTTCCAAATACCCCCTTGCCTGGCAGCCGTGCCCGTGAACACGGTCCCCTTCCATCCCCCCTCGCCGCCTTGCCCGGTTGCCTGCTGATCACCGATCGGGGGTCGGCGATCGGCATCATGCCAAAGACAGCTTCATGCCGAACCAGAGAGCAAGATGCGTACATTCCCATCCACCGGCCTCTTATCGACTGATGCATGGCATAAAGCGTGTTCAAGAATCCACACATAAAATTCTGCGCATGCGATTTCATCAAACTGTACTTCTCGCGAATTAGTTCCATTATTTTTTAATTAGCCAGCGCTCATCCGTGTTGCGATATCGCCCATAGTTGCTGCTGCTACTGCCCACCTTAAGTCACCATTAGACAAGCAGGCACAAGCGGCAGCAGATATTGATGCATGGTGGTGAACGACTGTTGGGGAGTTGCATGGGGAGCTTGGCCAGCAGCCCATCAAGCAGCCGCGCGGCGCAGCAAAGGTTTAGGAGTCTCCTGTTTTGTAGCAATGCTACACAGCAATGTCGTACAGCAGTACACCTCAAGAAGATTCACAGGGATGCTGCTGCCCTGCTGAGACTCGTGCGAAAATGCTGGGTACTATGTATCTGTACGTTTCTGCCTGTCCAAAGTGTACATGTGTATACTTATGTACGCGCTTGTCAACTGCTTCCGTCCCGTTGTGCGGGGCTGCCCATCCATCGATGTGCCTTTCTTCCGCTCCAGGACTTCCGGGACCGCCGCTCACATCATTGATGTGCGGACACAGGCCGAGTTCAAAGCGGGGCATATCCCGGGGGCCCTGAACGCGTCCCTTCTGCCGCCCTGGTCTTGGCCTGCCAGGTACATATATATGTAATTCCTGCACGACAGACGGATATACTGGTATTGTGTCTCTGGAAAGTTCCAAATTCGATTCCTGAGATGACCAAAGATCAGCCTGATCGCCGATCCCTTGACTGTGGCGTATTTGAAGACGCCATGCGTGTAGCTGTAATATCTACAGCCACAGCTTCACGGCGATGATGTGCTAGCCGACCAGCAATGAAGTTGCTGGCGGGTTCTAAGAGGCGGACTGATTCCAGTTCATAAACAGGCATTGCAAAAGCATGATGCGTGTGGATAAAGGAGGGTGGGGGGTGGGGGGTGTTGCCCAGCGCAGCGCAGATATTTCAGCTCGATATCTACACAGCAGTAGCGTGTTGTGTGAAGTGTCGCACGTGTGCTTGCATGAGTATAAAACTATGTGGTAGTAGCAATTATGGCCCCCACCTTGCACTCGGCAAACCCGCCGCCATGTGCGTACACCTGCTGGCTGGTGGCTGCAGAGTGGAGCCCCTGCTGCAGGGGCTGCAGCCCAGCACCGAGCTGTACGTCATCTGCCTGTCCGCGCACCGCTCCATTGGTGCCCTGAAATGGCTACAGGATCGCGGCTTTACAAACGTCAAGCAGCTCAAGGTGCGGTGCGGTGGCGCTACTAGTGCTTGTTTTGTAGTCGCTGGCCGCTGAAAAGGCTGCTCTCAAGTGCTGGTGGAGCGCATTAGCGATACATAAAAAACCCTATATATATTGTTTCTTATGCACATCGCTTGCTGTGCTTTCTTTTCTGTGTGCGCCTGTGTGTATGTGTGTATGTATGTGCATTGCGTGGAGACCATGTGATCTTGTATGTATGTGGGAGACCATGTGATCTTGTATGTATGTGAATGCAGCTGTGAATGTGGCTTACATACAGCCACCATCACCCACAATCCAGTGTATGAATCTGCTGCCGGGTAAACGGCGGTAATAACTCCTCCCCTGGTCGGCTGGCATAGTGTCACTACGTGTGATAGGGTCCGTAACTGTCTGCCGGCACGGGAGTATGCTTCCTACCCTCTTTTACGGTAGAGGGACTTATGTCGCACTCTTTGTCGGGATCGAACCTGGACTATGAAGTGACGCGTACAGCAATGCCGTGCCTTAGCAGCTTGCCTGTCGTGCCGGAAATGTGTTCTTTAGTATCTAAACACTAAACCCAAAATGTAAACCCAAAATATAAATGAGTGGCGAAATTCCTTGCTTGCACCACATCTCTAACCACCATCTAACTAATAATGCATATGCATCGTACATTGTTTACAGTAGGGTGGCATGCAAGCCTGGCGGTCACAAAGGCTAATTGAAGTGAAGGAACTGGGCGCCACTGATGGTGATGACCGAGCAACAGTGATGGAACCAGCAGCCTGCTGCCCACAGCAGCCGAACAACGCGGAGTGAAGGTGGGAAAGAGGTCCAATATCCGTAGTCATAGTAACGACATACATGAGGGTCGGAGCTTAGAGGAAGTGTTTGTTCGATTAAATTTAAGACCATCCATATCTAGGATTGAACACCATACAAGACCATGGTACCAACAGTACTGTTGCCGCACGCAACAGGTTCACATCGCAACAACCCCAACGGCGCACCGAGCCCTATACACGATACTGAAACAGCTGGGCCTGGATGCGGAGAGTGAGGGAGCTGTTGGGGAGTCATTCCCGGCGGTACGGGTGGTGACATTGGTGGTGACATTGGTGGTAACATTACGGCCGGTGGTTAGTCGTACAAGAGGGGGTACCCGGGGGATGTTTTCCGGCACTTGGCCGACAGCATGGCGGGGCACACACCTAATGGCGGGGCACATATCTAATGGCGATCACTGAGCCAGGCAGTGGTGTATGGGAGAAGGTAGACACTAGCAACTTAGCCGCAGAGCTGAGGCAGCTGAATGAACACTATGACTGAGTAGGGGACACACCAGGCCTAGGGGGCGATTGCATTCGGATCCTTGTTTGGAACATGCATGTAGGGCAAATATGTCGACCATAGGGCAAATAGCGCGTGTATAGTTATTCCGAAGCGTGTGGTGGTAACTTTACGGGCTGCCGATGGCAGTTCTGGTCAAAGCCTCAGTCTAGCGGCCAGCAAATCGGAGGCTTCTTGCAAACTTTCACCGCATCTGCTCTTCCACCGACCGGCCTTTTATAGGAGCATGTGGAGGATGACCAATGCGGATTATGCCGGGGGTTATATGGACACCCAGGGAGAGATGCTTAGGGTGGCGTTGGGGCAGCTGCTGCTGAACCTGCACGCCGCCTCAAAGGCGCTAATGTAGGGCAAATATGTCGACCATAGGGCAAATTTGACCAGGTTAAGGCTGTGCGAGGTCTACTTAACGTAATCATCCTGACTGAGATGAATTCGCATGTAAATTACAAACACGCCAGGGAGCAACTAGTATTACATGGCTAGACCCAGGGTTATCGGAGGTCGGGCAGTGTATCTGTATTCGTTCGGATAGAGATGACTTCCCATGTGCAGCAAGACGTGGAGGCTGGACAAATGCTCCGATAGGGATGGAGATTGTCTGGCTTCGACTTCATAATGTACTTACTCCCTGGAGGCTGGGGGGCGCTCCTCATGGGGGCAGGGGTTATTGGGGGCACCTCAGGGGTCCAGCGTGTAGAATAGCACTGACGGGTTTGTGGCCTCGTGCTCAGTGACGTCAGTGACGTCGACGTCCTTGACCTCGCGGTTTTTGGCAGCATTTTACTGGTGAACTCGACAGCTGAGCTGTGGTGTGAGCAGCGACTCCGGATCTGCGATCCCAAAACGTTCAGTGCAGGAGTGCACCCCCGCCTAGGCACCATGCACACGAATAGAGATGCCGGCATCAGTTCTTTTTCAGGTGGCGGTTGGCCAGACAGATGTGCCTGGATGACACTGGAACCGCAATTGCCTGGATGGGTGGGTGCCCAATGGGTGGAGATAGGTATGGAGCCCATACGTTTTCTAACTCTGTTGAGGGGTGTAGTTCTATCGACCTACGTATTGCATCTTACGGGCTCCGTGAGCATCTAGACACCATACGTCAACAGAGGCCCTGAATTGCGGCCCTGAAGACACCGGCCTACCGGGGCACTTGAGTGCATCCCTACCTTCCGTGTTGGGGCCGGACTCCCTCTACGTGTCAGGTGGGCGAGTGAGGGGCGGCGGGGACGGGGTGGATTGAGTGTTTGGGGGATGGCTTAGGGTTGCGGGATGTTTGCCGCCGGAGGGGGAGGAGGAGGAGGGGGAGAGGCTCGGTCAGGGAGTGGGGAGAAACGGTATCCAAACACTTACACACATACCTTGCACACACATGCCATCTTCGAACCCAACACCCGGCTCGCGGCTCACTTCATCCATTCAAACACACGCACTTTTACACACATGCAGACATACACACATGCAGACATACACACATGCAGACATACACACCCTCCTTGGCCCCCGCAGTCCCCGGGGCCGACGCCGAGTCCTCCAACGTGGTGGGTCGCGAGAGCGGCCACCCGGGTTCCCATGAGACGTTTGTGACGGTGGAGCGCCTGCAGCGGCCGCTGTGTGGCGGCTCCCGGCCGCACTTCTTCCGCGGCGTGTGTACGGTGGTGACCAAGCTGTTCCACATCTGCGAGCCAGACGTGGCTGTGTTTGGCCGCAAGGACTACCAACAGTGGCGGGTGATCTGTCGGATGGTTCGAGATCTGGATTTCCCCGTGGAGGTGGTGGGGATGCCCATCTGCCGGGAGCCGGACGGGCTGGCCATGAGCAGGTGAGACCCGAACCCGGGGGAAAAGACTAGGGGTTAAGTGTGTGGGGGGTGGGGTGGGATGGGGTGGGGTGGGCCCGGGGGAAATGCGGCTGCGGATTTCATATGACTGGCACTCGAGCGCCCCACGTCAGCCGGCAGCTCCCAACAGCCCTAATATGTCTTGTAGCATCCTTTGCTGGCGTGGGTGTTTTAACTTCTATTCCCCGATGCGCCCAATGACCCCCGCCCGGTAGTCGTTTGCTTCCGTCCCGGACCCTTAACTGCCAACGTTGCCGCGATGGCTACAAACCAAGTCACTACGGGTCCGTACATTGTTGGTCTAATCTTGGGTAGAATACGTAGAATATCTCTGGAATACGTCTTTCCTTCAATCGTCGAGTGTGATCCGTCGTACCCCACCCCCCAAACCCACCCCTTCAGTCATAACGCTCGTCTGTCCCCCGAGTCCGGGGAGAGGGCCTTATGCATCTCCCGGGGACTGGCTTGCGCTGAGAAGGCGGTGGCGGAGGAGGCGGCTTCGGAGCCCGCGGATGTGGCTGCGCAGTTGAGGGGCCGGATTGAGGAAGGGGGGGGTACAGTGGACTATGTGGAGGTGAGGGGGCGTGTGGTGTGTTTGTGTGTGTGGGGGGTGCTGAAGAGGGCAGGAGGAAGGCAAGGGGCTCTTAGGTGATGAGAACAGTAAGGTAAGAACTAGGGGAAAAGAACTAAGAGGGAGAGGGGGAGCCGCGTCCTCGAGGTCCCCTCCGCCAACCTGTCCATCTATCGCGCGATGATCTCGTGCTCATGTTCGTACTCGTTCCCGTCGTCATGTACGACGAAGAAAACGCCAACAAGCGAGCGGAGGACGTTGTGATGTTAGGGTGGCGGGTGATGTGGAGGGTGGCGGGTGGAGCACTAGCGGCGGCCGGCTGGCGGGATGGAGGAGCGGCTGTGACTCGCGGTGGTGTGTGCTCTCTCTCTTCCACCACCACCACCACCACCACCACCCACCCACACAACCCCGCATGCCCCCCACCCTCTCCCAACTCCCTCCCGGCTGTTCCACGCGCACCACCTGAGCCCCAGCGACCTGACCTCCCAACCCGTGCTGCTGGTGGTGGCCGCGCACTTCCCCGCCCGG